ACTGCCTTGTGGGTCAGACTTTAGAGTTGAAGGCTCCGGTCAAGGTTCCCAAAGAAAAACCCGCTCGTCAGTGTAAGCTACCGTGAAGTATGTCATGCTGTAAATTCTCAGGCACCCATTTGGAAAATCGTCTTTCTCATCTGTCTGGCTCTTCCTCTCATTCCCGAAACAATTCTAGATGCCTCCTGTTTACGCTAACGATGGGATATTACTCAACGTTTAATCAGTGAGGTCAACCAATCAAAAACTGTAGGGTAGATAAAACAAAAATCTCCGTTTCACTTGCCTGGATTTGATGTCCACAGACACTCTATCAGATCCATCAACAAGCTGCCTTAGTACCCTTGGAAATTTCAATTTGGACGTGTGCTGTGTCTCCGAAACAAGCATAAAACACCCCACTTCGATCATCAACTTGCGCTCTTCAGATTCAACTCAATCCTCACGTTTTATTTCCCGAAGCTCGCGGTGTTGCTGATATTGGGATTGCGCCAAATGTCAAGGCTGACCGCTTGGTTCTTGACTAGATTACAGTTAGTAACCGACTGTGCACTGTACGTCTGGATGGTTCAATACGGGTCAACAGCTACGGAACTAAGCGAGGGTGCGTGGTAGTCGTGTCGGTGTATGCACCCACCGATTGCAGTGTAGCTGGAATTAAGGATACAAGAATATTTCCCAACTACTTGGTCAACAGAAATCATGGTAGTCGCTGGAGACCTCAATGCTCAAGTGGGATCCTTGGACGACACCGCCTTACATGGAAACCACCAACCTCCTCACAGTGCTGAACTCAAATCGACCAGATCGCCATTAGCCACAGCTAGCGAGGTTCCAGTAAAGACTGCCACTCCTATCGGTCAACACCCGTGGACACAAACCATGCCCTGTAACGAGCCAGATGCTCCATGCGCCTGGTAAACCATCGCAGAAAAGCTACCGACAATGGATGCCCATAATACAGTTTTAGCAATGGTTGCAAATCGGTCTTCGAAATGGAACTATCAGATCTCCTCTCAGTTCAACCATCAGCCGAAGGACTCAGCGATCGAAATGTCAATCAAAACAAAGGTGGATTTTAGCGCGTGATCAAAGCTTCAGCTGCCACATTTGAGGGATCGAAAATAAGCTTCTTTGAAGGCACCAGCAATAGTGCATCAACGCATTGCTGCTTTGCTGTTTTAAGCGCATCACAGGGAAATTCGGGTGAAAATGGACACGTTTCTCATATGATACTTACATAAAACTAGACAATGGTGGTCAATGTCATTATAACGGAGGTCATCATATTGAAACACGTCAACACTACCCATTTATGTATACCCCAGACAGCATTTCATTGCCAGCAGCCCCTTTGCTGAATGAAAACTGCACTTGGAAGAAATCGACTAATCCGGAGAAGTCCACCATGAGTATCGTAAACAGCGGCGCTCATGCATTTACTACTCACTTTCCATGCAAATCTAGTTTACTTGTTTTGTATCATAAGTGCACTTGGTTTAACACTTTTCCATCCCCCCTCTTATTAATCAACCAAATAAATGGCCAAAAGATGGTAAGAAAAACCACTGCCACGGAATTCAATGTGATTTACACTCAGTCTGCGACGCTTGCCTCTTGTGTCGCAGATACATTAGTAATTCCGTCGATCTCACTATCATATCCACTCAAAAACCTGCAGACACGAGTGACAGTACACAGTCGGGAAGGAGAACAGAAGTCCTCAAACCGCGTGACACAGAGCAATTTTGTAAGGAAATTGAGCAATATTACTAGGCACAAGGGACACAAGTAGTCCTTTGGTACTTTATTAGAGACAGATACAAGGTGATCACTGGAAAAATAAAACACAAATACAAAAAAGCAATTGGTTGTTTGGAATGTCATTTGTTTCCAGAATATAGTTATTTGTTGTTCGCATCTCTGCGTGAATTAGAGGCACATTCGGTGTACACCATTTACATTTCGATATCACACTTCAGAGACGAGGGGATAAAAAACACCAGTTAAAGAACAACAATGATTTTTTGACAAACATGTGATCGAGATAAGAACAAACGAATCCTTGTAAGGTCCGCCGGACTCCACTTGGCTTCACACCATATATTCCGAACACATTGGGTGAACAAGTCGATAAGAAAGGCATCTATTTGTTACAAGACCTGAGGGCTTAAACCGGATATCTTGTCAAATTTTCACACCAACAGGCAAACAGATAAAAGTTCAAGGAGACTTGTTTAACACAGCTATGGGGTAGTTGACAACAGACAGTGCGAGGAAGAAGGTTAAAGATGGTCAAGCCAAGACTGGGCATGAGGGTATGACGACCCTGATCAAGGGTCTCGGTCATATAGGTCAGGTTAGCACACACACGCACACCGGTTGGAACATCAGGATCAGTGTGTCATCGATGATCGGAAACACTGAGTGCAATCGCTCCATCATTAGTAGTGGCGCTCGAGCATCTACTGAATTTCTTCGAAACCTTAACCTGTTTTGGTCCTCTCACTGGCATAGCTCTAGTATTCCAATCTTCCCTCAACTCCTTCAACCAAATGGAAAGCAACAAAAACCGTGCACAGTTAATGAGTTTTAAACAAATGAACTGAATTGTCAGTTTGTTGAACAAAAGTGCCAGTCTTTGGTGCGAGCATCCTTATACGGTCAGCAGACAGGAACGGAATCGGTCAAACTTGTTTTCGAACCCATATACCTTGCGGGAGTTGAATAACGAACTGAGGAGTGGAAAAACAAGACTGGCTGACAAATTCCGGGCTATTGTGTGAAAGTCAATCACATCAAAAAGAGCGTTATCGTTAACAACGAGCCCATTCACATATGTGCACACTGACACATTTGCGTACCTGACCAAACACTCGCTGCAACCGGTAACCAGTTCAAGACTCAAAACGTGTGCGAAATCTCCGACGGAACAAATAAGAGCGCATCTGGAAGACGAAAATGAGCACCCTCCGAAATTGAATTCGATGGATAACTGCCCACCCTCTGCCTCGAGGATCTCGATCCGGATGTGATACCAGTTGACTGGCATAAGGAGGCGATTATAATTAAACATTATTGCTCGTTCTAGGATCAATATTAGTCATGAAGCGAACACAATTACTGTTTGAAGACCAGTCATAGTGAATCGGGATTAGGTCCATGCACATGGAACGATCATTGAAGACAGTCATAGTTGTTTGCACAAACAGCAACAAACAATTAATGCGAATAGTAGCTGATCGTTAATACAAGAATGATGTTTAGGTGAACAATAGGAGGAAGATGCATGCTTGATTTTTGACACTAAAGTGAGAGGGTGAAAAGCCCGTGCCCGCAGCTTCAGTAAGGTCTATGCAGACGCGGATAGCTGGCCTATCTAAAGGAGTTCAAATCTCGCACAATCTGAAGAATAATTATATGAATAGAGCCCCGCTCAATGATCGCGGCTTGATTAAGTGGCGTGAATAATACAAGTGTATGGTAGCGTAGGATACGACCAGTTGGACACCGAATCGCAGATCACACATACCGCTCTGTCGTTTTGTGAATCCATAAATTATCTCTGGTTGTTAAACTGTGTAATAGGGTGGGCTGATGTAAGATGACGAGTCAGAATTACGGAGATCATTAGGCTTTTCGGAGGAGTGTGATACAAAAGACGTAGCGGTAGTAGTGCGTTAGTGCATGGTTGCTGATAGCTTCATAGGAGCTCATCCGCCATTCGGAGGATGTGGATTCGTCCTACGGGATCGATGAATCCTTCTTCGTTGAACAGATTTGTTTCATACCCGTTACATCAGGCATTGAAAATCGTGCGTGTCTATCTTTGAACACTTTTCAGATCAGGATTCTAGGTCTTGCTAACACTCAATCTGGATTTGACCGAATGCCCACTGATGTATGTAAGCGTCAGCGTTTCGAAGCCGCAGGTGAGAATTGGGTAAATGAAGGAGAACGAGGTGGAATACACCTTAAAGAAACTATGGTATACCTTCACTCACAATCGCTATTCAGATTCAGATGGTTTCGGCATTCCGGAGGTTGAGTGTATCTGAACAAATGGTGCACCGATCCGTCAATATGAGGCTGGTTAAACTATGATCTATTTTAACCGCAGTATAAACCCAGACCAGTATCAAATACCAATCATAGGAATCGAGAGCGGTCATAGTATTACGTCCGTAGAACCCTAGCTAATTATAAATTCGTGAAACAGTCGTCAGGGCCAACAGAGAGATGGAGAGAGAAAACGAATTTTTCACTCACTCGAGATTTGATGTCTTCGTATTGCAGCACTTTCTTTGTCTGTTCTGAGTTGAAACGCATGATAGAACAAAGTACTTTGGCTAGCGTCTGAATCAATCCGGTGAATCCACGACGATTGGATTGGATTGGAATTACGGAAAAATGAAAGGAAAGGCAAAGGTGAAATGTGTTGTCACAAACAAAATCGATATTCATAAAAAATGCTACCGATTCGGTGACATTCAAAACATTGCATACAGGAAACAAGCAAAAAGGTGCTGTCCCCAAAACTGACAGATTTTTTCTCCCTTGTCTTGCGTTTCCCTCAAGCCGTGTCCGTAAAGATTGGTGCTAACTATAAGTCAAGTCAAGTATATGCTTCATACAATATATATATATATATGCGATGATGGTGTCTAAACTCAACTCTAGTTTAATCGGCCGTTCATTAAGTCAAAAGACTGAGTTCAACCCTTTCAATTGCACGTGCCTGATTGAATCGCCGAAAACGTGTGTTCGCTCATACCACCTGTTCGGTCTATGGGTCCGTCTCTAAGTGCTATGACGGCAGAGTTTTATTTCAGTACTGTATTCTCAAATAATCGCCTTTTGATGACGTTTCTCTAGCGACTCCAGATGTAGGGAGATAGAACAAAGCTGGAGGAGTGTAGTAATTCATGTATTATGCAAAACGCATGGAGGCGGGAAGATATCGGAAGGCATATCCCCAAAGATTGGTTGACTGGATTGTTGCCAACCGTTTTGATTGGTCAGTGGTTTCGACCAAACACCCGAGTTCGCCTATCCTTGTTCTGATTGACTGTCGCAGAACAAAGTTGTTTTCAAGGAGCATGCTGTCTGTCTGACACAAAGTACCATTGTAATAAGGAAAGGAATGCATTTAGAATGAAAGGTCCCCATTCATCCGGAATGACAATTGTGATATGAGATTGAGATTTCCATCTATTGTAAACACAGACGACAGCGTCAACGATGGTTAACTAGGGAAGTCACATGCAATAGGAAACTCTCAACGATCGAGGCGATTGTAATCCGTCTCCACAGCGCTCCTCGTCTTTTGAACCCACAAACAATGTGTAAGCGCGCATTAGGTACACACTTAAAATAAGTTGACGCAAGCCGCATCCACTCTTCACGATGATCAAGTAAGGAGAGTGGTGATGAGGTTACTGTCTGAATGAAACCTGATCTCTCACGCAAAAACTGAACTGAATATTTGTTGTAGGCAGCGGCGGGAGACTACCTAAATACTTAACTTATCCTCAAACAAATACCGCATTGACCTGTTAAGGTGAGCAAAGGATGCTAAGACGATTCCCGATGCAGAAATTGCACGTCGAACAGATAGATCAATGAAAACATGTGCTTGTCGAAAGGCTACATGATCTGGACGGCGTGTGCATTTCACTGGCTTTAGTCCGATAGGCGCACCAAGCCAGTTCAGTGAGGACACTAAAACAATATGCACTAAAGATACTTTGAACAACGATCATGACTGGGCTGAAAAAACGTGACACTTCAAGAGGCATCAGAAGCAGTCCAGTTTAAGGTACTCGGGACGAAATCTAGTAGGGGGAAGTATGCGTAGTTCAAATAAGATGAGCATGATTACCGATATTAGCTAGCCAGTCACTGAGAATTTAAGGTTGATC